ACCTCCAGTCATTACTTAGGGTTATTAAATAAAGTTGTTTCCCTTATAAAATATTAGTGATGAATATAAATGCATTATTGTTAAATTGAGAAAAATATATAACAAAAATTAAAATTTATCAATATTATTTTTACTTTTCGATTAATTAAGTGGTTAAAAATATCTATCTGTTATATCGGATATGTAAACATCTCTTACGCATTTTTTATGCAACTAAAATAAATTATTTGTATATAAGTTAACCATATAGGCTAGGTTGTTTATAATAGACTTAAAACTTCTATTTTTCCGTGTAATGAAATTATTTTTAAATAAACAATATTTGTTTATTCTGTTTGACTTATAAATATAATACTTACAAAAAGTTATCTTATATAGAAAATTTCATTTACTAGTCAAATAAAAAATAAATAAATGCAGTACTAAATCCGAGTTTTTCGAAAAGAATTGTTTCAAAGACAACGGTAACAATCTGACAGGAGAATTGAGCAGTGAGGGATTTGTCTCGGTTGATTGAATAATGTAATCTCTTAGAAAAGTTAAAATAAATAGACTTAGATATCTCAAAATTTGTCTTGTACAAATGGACTCGGTGTATATGTAGACAAAGATCTGCCTATGGACCCTAAGACTAACTGATACAGGATTACTGTAGTGCACAATTTCATTCTACGACATTCATTCACTGTCAATAGTTCATCATTCATAGTATTAGTCGACATACGATTGTAACAGATATTGACCTAATAATTTTACCTCTCTGTACATTTTAACCAAACATAAAGATGTAAAATAAGAGTTAATTTCTTTCAATTTGTTAACTGTTTAAAATGTTTCACAAGACCAAATAAGAAAATGTCTAGTTTTTTAAACATGTTTGAAATGTAATAATTTAATCAACTACTAGTAGTTATAACAAAATAATAAACAATAAAGATTTTTTATTATTATTATTACATTGGTAATTTAGTGTTGGATTGGGTTTTTAAAGCATTAGTTTCTACTAATCTTATACTAATAGTATATCTCACTTCATAAAGTTTCCTTATATCACTTTTAATTTAATAAATATAATTTTACCTCTATTAGTCTTACCCTTTGGTTCATAAAAAAATATACGATATTGGGGAACTTATTCCTGTGAATTGTTATATTCCGTTGAGATTATTTCCACAGGACGTCCATTGAAAAACCAAACAGGTCAGCAGCACCAATTTGTATGTAATTGACCTTGTTCTTCCTTTAAGTTTTGAACTAGGATATGGTATTAATAAATCTTTGCATGTGTTATTCATTAGATAAATTTAAGTAATAATGACTTATTGGGTTGGTCCATTCTTGTTGATACCTAATTTTTTCAACAGTTTATGATAGTTTTATATATTATCGGAAGAATTTGTACCAATATATTTACAGTAAATAAACATTTTTGATAATTAGTAGTTTATTAATTAGTTTAATCATGTCAATTTTAAGCATGAAATTTGTAGTCAAGTGTTAAGACCTTCAATAAAAGTTGATTGTTTTTACCTTGGACGTTTCAGATTTATGTCGATTTTGTAAAACTCTTTAAGAATTTTATTTATTTAGATTTACTCAACTGATTGGTTCATTTTGGTATATTTAAACTCGATATCAGAGCCTTGAGAAATTACATTTTTTCAAATATGTATCTACTTCGACATGTATAATTTTTTATGTTGATAATATCAAAATCGCCAATAATAAAATCTTCTCTAAAACTAGAAAAAATACGTAGAATTTTATCAAAGTTAAGAATTTTGTTTGACTCTACACCACTACATTTATCTAGTTAAAGTTTTAAAAAAATATATAATTATATGTTTAATGAATTCAAAAGGCATTTTGAATGTTATATTTTTAACTGACTGTTATATATTCCATGGCCTTTAAATAGTTAGAAATACTTAAAACTTTATTCAATATAATTATAGTAATTATATTTTTGTTTAAAAATAACACATAATATTGTCAATAATAATAATAACAAATAATATTACAGCTAAAAATTTAATACAATTTTGACAAATCAAGAGGATTTTTAATGTTAGATATGGTAATGTGTTCCTCCTTAATCTCAGTCTTTTAATAAATAATATTCTATGGATATAATAGATGTTTGCTACTTCACTTGAGTAGTTTAAGGTGATTTTGTGAACATGTTTTGTCCTACAATAATATATATTTTTAATTGTTTACATATGGTTGTCAATTCAATATCTGACGTTTAAAACTTATTCATGCCAACTAAATGGGTTTCATTTTTTTAGCATATCAATTGTTATTAATAATTAATATGCTAAAAATAAAAAAAATTAGTACTTTATTACATTTTAACCATATAACCTGCAGTACACGTCAACGGCGTATAGTACATATGATTTATTGTTAGGTAAAATCACTAAAATATTTTATTTAATGTTGCATCATTTTATGATGATAATTTTTTCCACATCTTGAATATTTACGATTGGATATGACACCGCTCGTCGGACGTGACAGTCTAGTCTGTTGCATCACAGACACAATAATAATATTATCATTCATAGATGTTTTATTGGCGCATAAACTTCTTTTAAGTTACTCTTAAATGCCTGAAGATAGTATTCAATATTAATGCACGTTTGAGTAAATCGGAGGAAGAAATTGGCGAAAGTTCACGTTTCACAAATCCAAAAATGATCTTTATTTACAGAATATCCGGATGTTAAGTAATCATTATCGTATGAAAAGACATTTAAGCATTGTAATAACAACATAAAACCAGTTTTTAAACTGAGATCGGGCATATTTTCTTTTTTTAATTGTCAGAATAACGTATTGAAAAATCTATTAGATGTTTATGAGATATTGAGATGACGTATCAAACCCATAAAATCTGTAAAGATTTAAAGTAAATTTCAAAGGTATGTTGAGTTCATAGTAAAATTATGTGAAGAAGTCATTTTGATTTTAATTAACGTAACGTTCATTGAAGTTGTTAAGATTTAGTAGTTTTAAGTGTTCACTCGGCTCAAATTATACTTTCATAAATAGTACGCAACCTACAAACGTTAATTGTTTTTCTATATATAAATATTGTTTTATGTATAAAAACAAATATTACAATACAATTGCTATTACTTTTGATTAATTGAAATTAAGAGTATTTAAAATAACCGTTTCGAAATTTGAATCTAATATAATCGACCGAAAATCAATAAATTACAAATGAGTGACCTCATAACATTCTATTGACTAGATTCTAAAATTTTGATTTATTTTCATGATTTACTAATTGAAAGTTTGAATCATATTTAGCATTTTATAATTTATATCTAGTTATTTATTTTTTATCGTGCACAATAAATTAATATTTATTAATCGTTTTTTATCTACTATCGAGTTCTTGAATTAGTTAAACGCAACCTAACTCATTTTTGTAATATGTCAGTATGTACAATTGGATCAAATATAATAGTTTGTGTACTAAGATTAATGGACGATATCTAATAATCCAATATTTTATCTCAAATTATTTTATTTCCACCAACACTGTATTTTCAATAATACTTATACAACGAATGTGATAAAGCGTGCTCAATCGGGTGATTAATGTTTGATAAGAATTGTTTAGAAGTCCATTGGATTGTAATATTTGCCGACTAGTATGTTCTTGGAAAATTTCTCAATATATCCTCACTTTTCTTCACGTTAAACTTAACAGGTTTTGACTATTGTTCTCGGGTTGAACTTAAAAAGTTGTTATCAGTCACACGTCGTTTTTACAATTACGTTGTAATGCAATTCACCGTGCGTACAGAGCTCGGTGAATTTGAAGGGAGATTTATTTTTTCATTTTTTACATAATACCACGTATTTTTTTGTACTATTCTCAAAAAAACTCGTATAACGCAGACAACGAATACATTGCCAAGGAACATGTGCCCTGCAAATAATAGCAACCGTAACTTAAGCTGGTCACGAATGCGCTTTGTTGACTAGATTTGCAGTAAGTCTGAATTACTGAGTATCTCAGGGTGATAACTCAATTGTGCGTGTCAAAAATTGAATATCGATTCAGTCCCAATACAGTTCGTCGAATGTCATCACATCAAATTACATAGTTGTCATCATGTCAGTTCATATTTACGAAAGTAAATTAATATTAAAGTGGTTAATAAATTTGGTTGAAATTTATAACTTATAAATGTCATTCAGTAATAATTAACGGTAAAATATTATTTTGCTTAGCTGTCGCTAAAAATCTTATTAACGATGTAATAGCTGTGTATTTTTTATAAGTTACTTTATACATATTAAATTATTTTGAAATATTTTGAAAATTTATCGTATTGTATTTTTTATCCATTTTTTTTTGATGTTTATTCAATTATTATAAAATAATTTATTTTATTGACATCGAATTATGTAAAAATGAATCTAATTAGTTAGTTTTTTTTCTACCAAAATTTGCATAAACTCTCTATGACCTTTCTTTGCTGCAAATTGTATTTCAATGAGATTACTCTGAATCATCATTACAAGCTTTACGTTTTAACTGTTTTTTTAATTGTGTTTATATTTAGCATTGTATTGCATATTGTATAACAGTTCAAATCTTAAATTCATTTAAATTGGTCGTTTTTTGCTTTTGTATACTTTTCATATAATAACAAAGATTTATTTTAGATTATAAAACATTTTGTAGTCAAAATTGTTTTAACTAAAAATTTCGAGATAGCGATAAAGATATTGTAATACATTTAGCGATTGAATAGTACTCAAGTATTTGGCCCTGGTTAGTTAGAAAAACAAAAACACTACAGAATTCTGTTTCGGTGATTATTGGTGTACGATATTTTAATGCGGTAGCAAATAGCGCTTCTTAATCATACACAAAATTAGTGGGCAAATATAAAAATAATGTCAACAACATGGAAGCCTCGAAGATATTTTCACTGAGCACGGTTGGTTAAATCGTATAGACATAGATCAATTAGGCGTAAGAAGAAAAACATTTGTTATTAGATCTCAGTGGGAACGTATAAAAGCTAATGAAGGCATAGGACTACAAGTGATGGTGTGTTATTGTTTTTCTATTGCACAGAGGAACTGTGTCGACCGGCTGCGCGTGACAAACGTACGCAAACAACACTCGTTTTTATATTAATGAAAGTAATTCGTGGAAATTTGCAATGTTTTTATTGTACGAGAACGTGGAAATATTTCTCAGTCAGCGACAACGGCGTAAAACCACGTGAAACATTGGAAAAAATCGAAAAGAACTTTGCCGCCCCCGTGCCCACACTGATGAAGCACTGACAACGACCTTGGCCGAAGAAAGGTTAAATTTCGAGCAAAGCATGTCCGTCCAATGCCATCGGAATAACTGTTTACAAAACAACTAATATCGTTCGGCCTACGGGTTAACGGCGGCGGGAAAAGAACCATAACAAAAAATAACGCGACGCATTCGTTTTTTATCAATTTGACACTAACATGAAGAAAATAATACTATCGCTTTTAAATAACTATCCGTATGACTGGTGATATGTAACACGTAGTGTTATGCGATAATAGCGATTAAAAATGATAACGGATTAAGTTAGCTGCCTATTCGTGACGATTCCGTGAACAAGTCAAAAAATAGTTTCAATTGTCCAAATTCATTTGCAGCGTTTAGCACGGTTTGTAGTGAAAAAAATTCGGATTATTTTTCCTTGTTTTCTTTTCAAAAAATAATTCTGCGTCGATGGATAAATTCGCAGCGACGCCCTCGAAAGGGTTTCTGAGGTCGCTGGTAGTTTTTGTGGCCGTCGGCGTAGCGGTTCGTTCGCGTGCGGCTGACGACTCGAATAAGGTTTACACGCTTAACGGACAAAACTTGCAGTGGCCGTGTTCTTCTACTAAAAATATTTACACCAGCACTGGCCAATACATTGCCAAGAACATCATAGCCACCCGGGTGCAAATTTGGAAAAATCGAGCTTTTGTCTTGACCCCGAGATTCAAATCTGGCGTTCCATTCACTGTGTCCGAGGTGAATCTAAACTGCTCCAACACGTGTTGGCCTAAACTGATACCGTATCCTTATTGGTCTTTACACGAAGAAGGCGAAGCCAAATCTATTCAAAACGCGGTAGACATATTTCTGGATCCATTGGGCATACTTTGGGTGCTCGACACAGGACTAATCAATAACATGGAACAAGTTGTTCGGACGAGACAACCAAAGATAGTGGCCATCGATGTAAAAACCAACAAGGTAAGTAAAATATAAGAAATATTTTGTTGAAGATACACGTGAAACATTCAAGGAATTTCTAAATTTCATTTTGAATTATTTTTAGTCAAATCAAGTCAGATACCGTTTGCTACATCTACTTCCGTTTTTTTTACTTAAACTTCACATATTTCCACGTGTTTAAGAAAACTAACTTGACGATTTTTAGAATATTAATAGATATATTCATGTCTTGCGGTGACGTTTTAAAGTCGTTGCTGAGTTCATTTTCGAAGTGGTAGTTACAGGTCCGAGGTTAGAACTATACTATTGCAAACTAAAGACACGGTTATGTCAGTAAATATTTTAAATAGTACGACATCCCATAAAAGTTTTAACACATTCATAACTCGATGATATTAAGTAAAAAAAATCTTGCTTTGTGACTATGGGATTTTAAGTAATTAGTTTCTTTTGTAGAAAAGAAAAAGCAAGATATACTCTAGGGAAGTATCTATCACCACACCCCTTCGCCTTATAATAACGCATAGCCGGCAAAATGACTTGAAAACAAAACTCATTTCAGTGCGTCCCCTTCGATTGACTAAATGGAATGTGTGCAGGAAACATTTGTAACATTTCACTATACAAGAAATTATTTCAGGAAAAGCTCATCACCATTACCCGTTTCACTCCCCTCGGATTTACTAAGAAATCCTACCGTTTCCGATAAATTACTCTTTGTGAGATGTCAGGCAGTAGTTTTAATGGGTTTGGTGTATTATTTTTTTGTTAAGTACATAATATTCAACGAAAGAGAACTTTTCAATCAACACAAATTTTATGTGCCAAATAACTTTGATTACAATGAGAAAATAATATTATTAAACAACTATTTGACGAATCAATTAAGGTCTTTCAGTTTTTAATAAGAATTTTTATTTTTCGCGTTTGTTCTCTTCGAAAATAAATAACGCAATTAAAAGGAAATTAAAGCGTTTTAATAAGTTTTACGAGAACTCGTCAAGTAAATATTGGTTTGTTAATTATTCCACTTAGATTAAAAATTAAAAGCAAAAAAAATCCATTAGCTGGTAGACAGCATTCACCATTGCCTCTCTAACCGTCGTCTCGGAATCACAAAAAGGGTTACGGTGGCCCTTTTGTTTTAAACCCTTTAGGTACTCCTTGCGAGTTTTCCACGTTAACCGCGACAATGATATCTACCGCCTAAGTGCGCCTGTACAGTGTTCCGATAGACCGCTTAGAGGCATTATCATTATTATTATCGTATACCATGAGGGTGTTATTATAAAAGTGAAATATGACTGCTACCACCTATTATAGAGAGCCCACGCACAACCATTATATTAATTCGGCTTATCTCTTAGTTTAACGACTCTAAACCGAGCACTGATCATGAATCACCGGTCGATTTCCATATTGTTAGCATTGACTGCGTTTCATAATAATAATTACTCCATTATTTCCACAATAGGATTTTGGTCAACTATAGTTATAAGTTCTGCTCGCGTTTCCACAAACTTCAAAGTACAAGCAAATTCTTTGACACTCGAATGACTCACGAGCCAATAATTTTAATAAACTCATTGAAGGGGTTTGATCAGATTGCCTTAAGGGATCCACCAAACTATTCGATTTTGGCGATGATAGCTTTTATAAAGTTTTAATATGATCATTCATATACTATTCTCAACTTATCTACTGATGATAATAAACAACTCGTATATAATGCCATTCTGAGCGTATTTTTACATAAACAATATCAATATAATATTTCGCTGAACCTTGCCAAACAAAGTATAAAATTGGCTGATCCTATACAAAGTACCATTAGTTTTTTATCTCTTAATCTCATTTACATCACTATACAATAACACTGCTGTAGGTATATTTATTTATTAAGATCATGGTGTATGGCGTAAAATACTTCATCTAATGCACTACAAATCTTATACATTGTAATAGCGTTGTTTTTCAGTAGATAATTGGATTATAATCAATATAAGTTACATTAGGCTCCATTGGATTTATAATTTTGAATTAGTTTTAAAAAGTTTTGTTCCCTTTTGTTAGGCAGAATCATTCTAAAATGGATCGAGTTAACCCATTTAATGTTATCCTCGAGAGGGGAAATCCTTCTTATTTTCGCTTCCTTGAACATTTGAATTTATTAAGCGGCTTAAATGAGTTAATATCTAACTAGACATCGTGGAACACTGTTTACTAAATGGTTTTCTATAAAAATATTTAAGAGGGAAATGATTTTTCTTTCAACCTTGTTTGACAACGATAATCACCAGAGCATCTCCTAAGACTATTTATGAGCCATTATTCGATTTAATTTGTCCACTTCCAGTCGACTTAATAGCCCTGACCCACAAAGTGTATATCTTAAGTTTATGGGGTGAAAGGTGAAAAAAAATCGTTAAAATTAACCACGTGTTTCTTGTTGTTCGACAATGGTATTGAATTATTTATCACTATGATACAAAAAAAGATAATAATAATCACTATTTGTACGTACAAATATTGTACTTACTATTTACACAACTTTTAGATCGAATGTTGAAATTCGTAACAATACACTAACGGCCATAATAATATTTTTAATGAATAGCCTCAATTGTTCAAACAAACGCCGTTGGATCATGTTCTTGGTTTTTGTCAAGATTTAGGTCATTTTTTATTCTAATTACAATCCGGCGCAAGAGAAACGTTAAAAAAACTATGAAAAGTAAGTCGACTACGAGTTCAACATTGTAGAAAATCAGGCTCAACCGTATTTTGGCGCTTCAGTGTTTCGCAAGGTTTCCAATAAAATACTCTTGCCGTCGTAGATGACTCTATTGTTCGTGAACAGTTACGTGGTCAATGTTACAATACTCTGATGCACAATAATTTCGTTTGTTATTGTCATGCGAGGTTCTTCGGACATTCAATTATCTAATTACAAGTGTTATATGAGGAATAAAAATACAATTACTACGATTATAGTGATATATGACACATAGACATGTTGTTGTTTTTTATTATTTAATGGGGACAATATCTTTACGACATTTACAAATCTGTTTGCTAACTGAACAATAACAAGATATTGATTGATGTTTTTTTTATTTAAAAATAATTAAATTTAATAGTAGCCACAAAAAAAGTATGGTAGATTGATTTGTGTTGATACTAATTTAATTATTATTATTGATATACGTTTGAACGGTGAAAGTATATTGATGTCTCAATACTAACTGATGTGGCTAACGACTGTCAGGTGTAATTGAATACCAAACCATTGTTAGTATTACTCTGGACGGTATGTAATTAGATATTGTTATTATTATTTGTCTTGTGGTGATTTTGTTGACTCGGGCCCGCACTGATTACAATATTATTATAATTTCATGTCTGCATTATGGTATTGCACGACGCGGCTGTTCGTTATTGTTTAAAGTTGCGACAAGGTTTAGCATTTAAAACGCAAACTGGATGAAAAAATAAGGAAAAAAAAAATGACAGTAATTGTACAGGAAAAGAAACGCTTGACTCGTCACATTTAGTAGGTTAATATCAATGGTGAAAGATAAGTTCTTAACTAATGACTACCACTAATTTGAAATAAAAAAAAAACAAAAAAAACGTACAAGTCTCAAAAGCGTAGTACTCGAGATCTACGCGTGAAATAATCAATTAAACAAGTGTTGTAGTAAAAGTAAAATGCTCACCATAAGATATCGCCTAAAGGTATTCGTGTGTTAAGCGGATTGTCACCGGATGACCTCGGTAAGGAAGGGCGACCCAAGGCTGAGTTCAAATACTTTGGGCAGAATTCAACGCTAATAAGTAAACATTAATTCAACGGCGTTTAAAATACATTTAAGAATTTGAAAAGTAAAAGTTTGCGATGATACGAACCTGATTTTTGGGTTCGAACCCGAACATAAATTTTAATAATTTTCAAACAAAAAATTTTCTGTAACTCTATTAAAAAAATGCTGCGTAATATGCGATAATATTAATTTTATTTTCAAAAAGATTTACAAAGAAAAAGTTTGGTTCGATTTTCTAACTGAACACCAAGTTCGGTTCGAAAATCTAGTAGTTTGAATATTACTAGTAAAAATTATAATTCCCAATTACATAAATTATTATTAGCTATTATATTATATGCGTAGCGGTGCACCGTTACGACGTTTTTCAAATGCTCAACATTTACCGCGAGTAACTATTTAAATGTTGATAATAGTAGTATTTTGACTATTGAGCATTTGTGCCGGCAGTAAGTATTTACTTGTCGTTGAAATCATTTCAGATTTTGGAGGGCCGTTCCCTTTACTTGACCCTCCATGACCTTAGTACGACTTAATTGAATCTGTAAAAATGTTTTAGCGGTTAAATACCCGGCGAACTTTTGAAAGCAATCATTGAGTTTCCCCAGCTCTTCAAATTGTATAACTACAGTGATTACACAAAGCCCTTTGCTTTTGCAATCAAAGTCGCAGTCGAGTTTTACGCCTCACGGTGCATTTTGGGCGAACGGTAGGCATCTGTTTGCAAATTTAATTTTCTTCCTGTCACTAAATCAGCATATTAACGGCAAACAGAAACCGCGGCAACGTTATTCCGGTCGGTTTTTTGTACTGAAAGGGTAGGAAATTGATTAAAGTTTTCTCTTATCAACAGTTGTGCCACCTGGGGTGTTCTTTATCGGACAGTTATGTTGTTTGTCATACATTTGTTTGTTTTTACTCAATCTGTCAAGTTCTCGTTTAATAATTTGCCACTTTGTTACTTACATCCTGACTGATTCTTACTACTAATTGAACTTTTTCATAATGATTTTGAATATTTCTAACCGTGTTTAAAGATTCGTACAGCCAAATTCAATATGTCAACACACATTAGTTTATCGTAAATCAATAATACTAAGTCATTATTCTAACGAAACAAAAATTAACATTTTATAAGACATCTGATAATCATTAATTATTTATGATAACATTTCAAGGGTTGTAGAGCTAAAGGAACATATCAAACTAATTTGAAATTTTCTAAATATTTCAATCAATATTGAAATATATTTCGATAAAAGCAAGACGTTATCTTAGTAATATTAAAGTGTATTATTTTTTTGGAATGTAATTTTTAATTTGTTCGTTTAAAAGTAAGCAATTAGTTGATACGCTCGTTTCACTCTGCACCCTCAATATAAAATTTATTAAATACCACAAATTAAGTACAACATAGACCTTGTGTAAGTAACCCAAATAACCGCTAATTACGTCCAAGGAAAATGACTCAAGTCGATATTTAAATTTAAAAATACTTTTTATGTTCTGCGTATTTTAATTCGGCTAGGAATCGATGTATCTAAAGTTATAAAAATAAAGATCATGTTCTATAACGTGAAGGTATTTTAGAACTTTCTAAATTTTTCCACCATAAAGTTTAAAATAATTTTGAGTTATTTTTTCTAGCGTGAGTTTATAAATCTACGCTTTTCACAGACTTTTTTGTGTCTAACTTTTGCAGGTAGTTAAATGGATTGATTTGTCCGGTTTGGTGTGTCCCGCCAGTAGACTGAATTACATTACTGTGGATTATGGTGAGGACGGCAAAGCGTTCGTGTACGTGTCGGACGCAGCGACCAGAGCGGTGATTGTTTGGGACGTGACCACCGACCGCGGGTACCGCGTAGTTTTGCCCAAAGCGATCACTCAAGACGGCGGCAAGAGGGACGTGCTATATATCGCTTTGTCACACAAGTCATCCGGAAACGTGCTGTATCTGACGTACCTCAGTAGCAATCGCATGTACGCCATTAAGACCTGTAACTTACGTATGGGCTGCGCTGAGGGCACCGTCACCGACCTGGGACCCAAGCCAAATAAGATGGTCATTCTGGGCACCGACGGCAAGTCCAATTTGTACTTCAGGTACCGTGGACAAGGTGACGTCTACGTGTGGGACACCGACACGGACTTTGGCAACTTCTCGTTACTTCAGAAAACCGCCGATTGTAGACTAGCTACACACGTATTGCCTGGCCCAGACATCACGTGGGTCGTGGAGAGCAACTTCCCAGACTACATATCCAATTCGGTCGGCTGTTTTGGTGCCAACGTCCGGTTGCATCCACTCGAGAAACTCATTGGATCGTAACATTACTACGCTATTTATATATACATACGTTGTAATTATATTGATTATTATTATTTTGTTATACTTAAATTATAATTGGCCAGACTGATGACGGATTTGTTGTTTTTCTATCATTAAAAAATACTATTGTATTGGTGTTAGCCGGTAGGATATTAGCATTTCATTGAAAGTTGTGCACATATTAACGAAATGGATCAAATATTTTAATCATCAGCGCATAATTAGACTTCATGTAAGTTTAAGAATTCCAACGAGGTGTGGCTGTGCCACACTTTTTAAACTACGTGTAGTTTAAATACATTTCTTAGCGTTTTTCTCATTTATTGTTGTTAGGATATGTTTTATTCGATAAATATGTAAATAGAAGAATAATTTACTAGTCATTATGTATTGAAATATCAATATATTACTAGATAATATAAAAATTATCTAGCAATACCTTTATTACTTGTATTTATATATATAAATAGGGAAAATAAAACATTTACTCAGATTCATAATCTAATTTTATGCTAAATTTTATAAGTATAATATAATTAAAATGTAAAATTTAAATATTTTAATCTTATTTAGGGTTGGGTTTGGAAATTTATAATGGAGAGGTATAAATAAAATGTTTCTATTGACAAGTTACTATAAGACATTTTTTTATGCATTTTGAGTTGATTCTGAACATAAGAAAATCAACTAATATTATAATATCAGCATAAAATGATAAATGGAAGAGCATGTGCGCCTGTTATTCTTTCTAAATACACTGCTTATTGGTTTTTGAGTGATTAACTAACGAATCTAAGTATAAAGCATACGTTCTTATGGACAAAAAATTACGTTTTTCAATCTCCCGAAAAGTAACTGTTTATAACTAGCTCCCTTTGCATAAATTTTATCCATTTACAAGGGCAAATCGAAAATAAAACGGTCTTACACGATTTAAACAAATTTTTTCATTATCAAACTTTCCAATTAGATACTTTAGATATACAATAATAAAAATTAAATACATTAAGTAAAAATATATAATTCGCCTGTGAACTTGCTGACCAATTCTAAACATTTTGTACACCAAAAAATGAAGTTTAATAAAGTAGACCTTATTAAACTGTCGTTTGTATTTTTTGATTGACATTGTATGTTTTCTCCTTGGCAATTAATAAAACTGCCCTTATTATGAATTTGAAAAATTCAAATCTCTTAAAAACATTTCAAAACATTTTAATATAATAAAGTATGTTTAACACATATGTGACATGATCAAAATAGAAAATTTAATCAACATATAATTTATAATTATAACATCAGAGGAAGTTTATTATAATATGAGTTTCCATTTGATGTATATAGTTATGCTAATAGACATAAGTAGGACATATCATATTGTAACTACAGTTGGTAATTCCAATAGAAGAAATAATAATAATCCAAAGCAAAAGGATTGACACTAACGAACTTGATCTATTTATATAGTAAAATACGTTACCGTAAATAAATAGATGATATTCTGGTTAAATATTTGTAGAGTTATCTTTCGGCATTCGATGTCTTGAAATGACTTTATAAATAACTGTTATGCAACGCGATTTATGACTTCATTAATTCGAAACTGGAAAACTGAAATTGAACAGTATTACTGAGAGTATTTCAATAATTTGTTTAGGTCTTAGTGAATGACTGCTAAATGGTATCAATTTCAATAATTGAGACCACTCTTTGCTCCCCTTTCTAATTATGCCAATGATATTTGCTAGTTGTTACATAAAATGGCTTTGGTAGATGCTAAGTTGAACATTATCTAAATATTTAATTGCAAAACTTTACAGTATTTATAATTTAAATTCAGTCGAAATAACGAACATTAAAACTGTGTATATGTTAGTTAATAGTTAGCAGAAAAGTTCTAAATGGTTCTTGAAATTACCATATTTAAATTAATATCTTAAGAATGTTACATTGACGATGTTGCTTGAAAATCTTCCTTTGAAATATAACCCTTTTTTTTCTAAACTAAGCTGTTTTTTAAATTAAAATCTACTGTAATCTCTTTTTACACGAGGTATCAAGTCTTTTTTATTTTATAATGTACTAAATGTCCAGGAGTGTAAATAATTAGTACTATTACTTCAACTATAAAGTTACCTTAAGACGGTACTTCAACAAATTATGCTATTAACAACAGAGTTAGCTTAGTATTATTATTATTTTTTTGGCAGTTTTCATCGTTTGATTTATTATTTTATCAAAAAAAAAAAAACTACGAGCTGCATAAACTTAAATGTTAAAAGAGATTTATTAAAAATATACTATAAGTGTAATTGAAATTTAGTACGTTGCTGCTGTGGATATTTAAATGACTAATTACGGCATACATTTAAACCATATAATTCTATAAACATGACAATCCATTTTAAAAATTTTATTTAAACTAGTATCATGTAGGTCGTTATAAGTCAATCGATAGAAAATTGCTGGAAAGTTTTACCGTGTACATTGCCGTTCTCATTAATTTATACAAGTCGATTCTTTTATCTTGAATCACCTAATTTACCAAAAAATAATAATAAAGTTGATAATTTTTTTTGTTTTCTTTTTTTTTCATGAGTACTTTAATTTATCAACAATGAAGTATTTTTTATTTTTATCTCTCGTATCTTATAAAAGTGTCAACTTATTTTTTTCAAATGCGGGCACATACATATTTAACTAACTTATTTATGAGATTATGATCTAATAAAGAAAATGACTTTTCGAAAACATGTTTTGAAACGGTATTTCGGGTGTTATTAACGATTTAATGCAATGATTAGAAGCGATACACTTTGCTTTTTTATCACTAGATATTTATCGGGCGCATTCTTCGTCTTGGCTAATCTGATATACATAAATTAGTTAATTAGGTATGCTTCCATTAGAAATATCAAGTTTCTATCCTCATAAGAAATAGGGATGATGTAAGAACATTTATTACTATGTTCTTACCATTTATGTTATACGCGTTGTATATTCATTTACTTAATTCGTAATACATATTAATTAGCATAGAGGGTGATAATGATGTGACAATCTCACTCGTCTTGGAGCTACTGACATCGAACTGGCAAAGGACAGTTATGTTCGAGTGGCCGTTATAGTTTTTGATACCATCACTTTTATCTTATTTATGTTGTAAATAACTTATTTTATTCGACAACTCGTCTATCGCCAATTGTCATCATAGCCGACCAACTCCGTCTCACTTGGATATACCAACTGATCGACTGTACTAAAATTCAGGTGAGACGTACATTACATTTAACTTATATTTACTTAATATCTAAAAGATGACTTTGCTTTGTCGTTGGCATAAAACAATAGTTTAACTTTATTACATGATAAATCACTAGTAACTGAGGTATGCGATTGCCTGTGTCTCCTTCAGATAATTAATACTCATTTAAGGAGATAGGAGAGACTCATCTTAAGGAGAGACTTGGGCTGACGTCGGGTACCTTCCGATCGAAGTATTAAACGGAACCCTAACAATGAACATAAAAAATATCTCATGAATGATAAATTGAGAAGAACGTGCCAAAAAATAAAAAACGACGATTTTCTAATATCTCCTTTTTACCTAAAACAAATAGACAGAAAAATAATTTAAAAAAGTATTTAAAAATGTTGGAAATCTTCGAATATTCATATGGGAATAAATTTCTGTGCGAGTGTTATGAAATAAGTTTACTTGGATTTTTTCATGTTTTCATATGAAAAAAAAGTTTACATATTGTCGACGTTCCATTAATTCAATTCTTTTCGCTCCAACTAATAGGAAAATTAATGTGAGAAAAGGATTAGAAAAAAAATGTTAATTTTGTTTTGCCGATAACGTATGGCGCACCTCAGCGTAGGTAAAAAATGTATTTTTGGCTCGGTATAATTTATTGATCCATACATTGTCGGGTCAATATTGTGTTCCCAAAGTTCTTACTGTAATTTTAAAAGCAATAGAACGCTAATAATTTGAAATTCCATATTTTATGTAATATTTATTGTTTGTTTTACTATTTGCTATTTGCATTGACAATGACAAATTACAACGTTGACCGACAATTATGATTATTATAATACACTTTGTCCAGCGACGACAATTCATTGCCAAATCCAATAAAGCTGTACAAAGGCGGCGGTCTGTTACTTTAACAACAACACACATTCACTTTTCGAAACCAGCGCAACCTCCACGCGATGTTATTTGTACTACAACACTGACGGCACGGGTCCGACTTGTTTTTTATCACTCCCATATATTATTATTATTATTCGTTTGTTTTGCAGCTAAAACACGCGGCAATTTCTATTCGCTGCACAACTGTAAACTGCTTCCGACACGAGCGGTTTTATGTCGAACAACTTTTGTGCAAGCGCCTAACTGAACTCTTACGCTAAAAAACGTTATATGACCGCCACTAATCTCCCTAGTCGCACTGTTAAGGTAAAGACAACTCACAGCCCAGTCGCCTTGAACCACACCCCTCGTGCCGAGGCTCCATAACATGTCGTCGTGATCGAGATACGACCTAGAAGGTCTATAGAAGTCACATTGGCCGACCATAAGCGTTTAATTAGACGTGCGCGTTTCTATTATGTCGACCTGAGCATTGTATACATTGTCCAGGAAGCGGAGTTTGTTACACAATAACGATAATTACTGTGTTGGAGCGTTTGAAACACTAAACTTTTTGGAGACCACGTTTTTTGGGTCAGTACGCTCTTAATTGTATAATTATTGTTTACATGACATCCGCCACCACAATGTTAGCGCTGGTTACAATATTTATTACATTGTTACTAGTAGACACGCGAATGAATAAAAACATAATATTCTTAGACACTTAAAAGTGCAATTATCAAGAAAGTTACCTCACTAGAAACACAATAGCAGTGCTGTTCCTAGCAAACATATTGTAATGCTATCACATAAAAAACAGTTGTGCGTTTCGAGCTTGATACGGGAAGCTATTTGTTAATACCAATACACGAACGTACTTAAAAATCATCTATTCAGCGAATTATAAATATGATTATATCATTTTTGTGGTTCTCGTGGGCTTATTTCAATATTTTCACAACCAATTGTTTATTTATTTCGAGTAACACAAACTTACGAACCTTAGTAAACATAATAGATCTTCCTGATAAACAATAACGGTCTGTTTGCTTTGCTTTTTAATCTCTATTTTGTGTTTTTCACAAAGGACCGAATACAGTCAATGTAAATAAATAGTAATAATAATTAAATTTACTTTTTATTTTACCAGCAAGTATTACTCCTTTAACGTTTTCATTTTACACGCTTATATGACTATATAATATTGGCTATCTAAAAAATGGTGAAGAAATATTAAAACTTTTGAAAATTGTGAAAAAATGATTTCTCTAATCTTCAGAATTGAATTAGGTATTAACCAAAGAAAAAATAACAATAGCAAATGACTGTTATTGTATCCGAAAAAAACCCTATTTAATAGAAATGTAAAACACGGTCAATTAATGCAAAATAATTACCTCGCACTGTCCAAATATTTAACTAAAAGTAATGTGATATCTGAATGCGAACACATTGTTAATAGATTTAAACGCATTGATTTGGTCGAAAACAATCAAAACAAACTTAATTGCATGTTTAATAGATGCGACGCTTAATAATTATTTCCCTTTATTTTTAACGCGACCAACCGTAAATTTGAGTTGGTTCATAATCATTGGACATTGTTCTTTGAAGGTTTATTTATAAAAACCTGACAATTAGATTACATTTCATTGCTCATAAAAAATTTTCTGTGGTAATAATTAATAATGCTATGAGCATAAATTTGAAAAAAAAAAATTAGGTCTGTGGAATAAAATATAACTTAGCTAGGTACAAGTGATATTTCTGCACTCACTATTTTTTATTTTCATTGACTTTTAGAGGGTTAAGTTCCCTCCGACACATGTCTATGATTTACATTAATATCAGAAAACATTATTGTTTTTTAAAACTCGTACGGATGTCGTATGAAAAGGATAGGTTTTTTATAATAACAATACTATTCGTGTAACTTATCAAAACTCGTGTCCAAAAAACGAAAGCATAAAAATAGTCGTAAAATGTATTGTTTTAATTAAAAATCGGAAATTCATTTGGTGGCCAACTTCTGTCTATGACATTTTTTATCCCTCTCGGAGTTGTGACCGTTGTAACAACAAATGTGAGACGGCTGTACTTTCTACAGAATTGGTTAATATTGTTATCCTAACAACATACGTAGTTGGAAATTAATTATTTTTTAACTCGAGTCGAACATGATATTATTCTGAATGAAAAGTACAATAACTAATGAGAGACTTTGTTTAAAAAAAAAAAAAATACTGCATACTGTGTATTTTTTTTTGCCGACTCGGTTGTTTGTAATCTTATATTACGTTAAACGCAGTCATTATAAGTTAACATCGTCTAAAAATGCAAGTCTTGTGCTTTTCCGGCTCCAAAAGGACAATGTTTTCGCGCATGATATTTACACTCAGATAAAAACGTTACAATTAGGTGATATCGTGGCTCTTCGATGTCATTATAATATTTAATTATTTATCAGAGGTGTTTTATTCTGCCAATAAAGTATTCGGTTCGCTCTACTCGACTGCACAGGTAGTAGAGTGGACGATAACCAGCTGTTAAAACAATTATTGAAGAAAATTTTGTGTTTTACGATTGGCCGAGAAAAACCCACTGAAAAGATGTGTAAAACTTATGGAAAATATTCAACGGTAACGCGTACAAAGATACGACCAAATGAGAGTGATAATTCTAAAAGACATTCCGTGTAAAAATAATGGCGTCTCGAACACGTCAAACACGCGGATCGTTATAATTGTGAACTAGTAACAGTAAATTTCTGTAAAACGTCGTTTTCCGATTGTCATAATTATTTTACAACGATTTAATAACTTTTGTTGAGTGTAATGCAACTGCTCGTTGCGCTTTAGATGAGTAATAATTGAGTCGTCAACCCGAGTCGACAGACATTAGTTGTACAGCAGGTGTATCACTCAGGTCGGCACAAATGACAAGAACTCATTACCTCGTCGTCGCAATGACGTTGTAATTAAAAACTGTACCCTCCCTCTGCCCCCCCCCCTCGGGAAAACAGCCGTGTTATTCGGGCGACTGTTTGTTTCAGTTTGACGAATCCGTTTAGTCGAACTCCGTTTGTTATAATTAAACGCCGTCCAATGGCACGCTGCGATTATTATCGACCGCAGTTATTAATACACTCGGCGTCGTTTGTAGTAATTAATTCGTTTTCAGTTTTTGGGAATCGGCGGCGACTATCGTTTGCATCCGAGAGCGGTTCAGCTGATGATTGATCGTCCGGCATACGCTGATTGCATACTACAGTGCTGAACGCAAACACGCCGACGTTATATTAATGGCACAATAATTATGACTGTTATTATTATTATTATGGTCGTCGTCCAAAACAACGGTTCTCTCTTCGTCCAGTGAAACCAATCAATGTGTACTGTTATCAGCGCACCATATTCCCCTCGCGATCCAACGCACTCGACGACAGCCCCAGCGTCGTTTAAAACGAGTCAATTATTTCCACTGCGCGGCAATTAAATAATTTTATCGGCGTTTCCAATAGAACGTCCCTACGAGTTTTTCGGTGAATCATCTCCGAGCGAGACGTTTTGCCGGTAACATAATAACTGCCGACGCGGATTTCTACTGTTACGTGAGCGGCTGTTGTCCGCGACCGTCGTCATTAACGTCGCGAAATTCCGGTCGTTATTTCGCATTTTATTTATTCCCATTAGAGAAATGAACCCGCACCGTGTGATGATTGCTCGTTTCACGTACGACCGCAGTGTTATTGATCGAACCTACTTTGGCCCGTTGTATACTGTTTACAATGATATTATAAAACTGTTGCCAATACCCAACGGCCGGCACGAAAATCAATTATTATAAAGTTTACACATTAGCATATTCCCATAAACGCCCAAGTGCAAACCGATAAAGCGGTTCTGTCCCCTACGTCCTCAGAAATATCAACAGCGAAGCCCGTTTTCCGATGACAATGTTGTGTTATAGTGAATCTCATGACCATCTAAAAAACTGTAATCATTTCGACGAGAATTATGTTAATTTCATTAATTGCAACATGTCTTTGCAAAAACACCGTTTGTCGAAGTGTTAACGACAGAAGATCATTGTTACTAAAATAAAAAATACTTGTAGTTATTGATGAAAAAAATTGATCTAAGAACTATGACTTACTGTTGATCAGGCCCTCGCTGACCAGGTGTTCAACGTATTAAAAAAACTAATAAGAAAAATTAGAGGCAGCATTCAAATGTAAATTTCCTTTTATTTCTCCAAAATATAATGTTGTGAACTAACAAAACATGTCTCAAATGCAATAAAATCGGTCAATTGTTAAATTCCAGTGGCATTTTCTTTTTCACTTCTTTCATAAAGATGTGCCAATCGTGGCTAGTAACCGAAATGATTTTTGGGTTACGGTATAATTTCGGCCTTTCCTTTTCTCCTAGTTATGAAATCAAACGCAATGTTGATACAAATATATTTAATGACTTTTTAAACTGAGAAGGTATTGTATTTACTATTATGTGCAATTTTTTTTTTCGTATAAGCTTATAAAAATTCTCAACTCATAGTGGACCAATTTTCAATAAGTTTGAAATTAAAAAAAAAATAATAATGTTTTATCTATCGATATAATGAATTTATATGGCTTCTTTAAATCTTTTGCTTTTGTATGGTTTTTTTAAATGTTTGGCATTTCTATGGCTTTTTTATATGTTTACCATTTCTATGGCTTCTTTAAATATTTAACATTTCTAAGGCTTCTCGAAATAATTAGCATTTCTATGGCTTCTTAAAAAAATTAAGCACTTCAATGGCTTCTTAAAAATTTTTTATCATTTCTATGGCTTCTTTAAATGTTTAGCATTTCAATGGCTTCTTTAAAAAATTAAGCACTTCAATGGCTTCTTAAAATTTTTTTATCATTTCTATGGCTTCTTTAAATGTTTAGCATTTCTAAGGCTTCTTTAAATATTTAGTATTTCTATGGCTTCATATTTTTTTTTATTTTTATGACTTCTTTAAAAAATTAAGCAATTTTAAGTCTCCTTTATATAAGTATATATGTGGGAAAATGCAAACAGGCAATTACAGGAACAGAGCGAAGACGCAATACTATTATTTAATTTATATATTTATAAATTAATACACAAAAACTCTATTAAATGTTAACAAACAAAAATAACACATATATATTTAAATACGCACGAAAACTCTATATAAAATATTCACACAACACAGAAAATAAAATATAAAACAGAATACACTTATAAACTAAAGAATATACATAGAGACACGTTTTAGCCGACTCACGACTTGACTTAATCTCCCTCTATGTACTTGATACCACTATCTATCTCCAGACCCTGGAAGTGGTGCCATCTAGATACCAATAGTACCCACATTTCGACCCTCTTCTTGATCAGTCGTCTCGACTGATTGACAGTTTTCCATCTCTTCTTCATCATCTGTATCTATTTGGCTCCATGGCTTCATATAGTCAACACCAGATGATGTTCTAATGGGACCTTCAGACTCACCAATTTTGACCATTTCATATCTGTCTGGTCCTCTACGTTTGGTTATTTGGTATGGGCCCAAAAACTTTTTATGAATTTTGGAAAGTGGCTTGAATTGTGTCCTCAAAATAGCAACCAAATCATCTAGGTGATACTTATGTGCTTCCTTTCTCTTTTTATTAAAAGTTTTACGCTGTTCTTCTTGAGCTTTAAAAATTTGTTCTTGTGCTTCCTTACGTAATTCATCTCTCTCTTCCACAAAAGCATTTGTATAGACTGAAGCTCCTTGTAATTTATCTATTTGATCATCTATTAATGGCAAAGAGTGTATATCTTTGATTATTTTCCTATTTAACATCCTGTAATCTACACAGGGACGTAGAGAGTTATCTTTCTTCCTGACCAAAACTATTGGACTAGCATAGTCAGAACAACTAGGTCTAATAATGTCTTCTTGTAACCATTCTTCTATTTGTTTGTCAACTTCACATGTTTCCGCTGGAGATAGGCGCCGTGGTCTTTGATATACAGGTTTTTCATCCATTAGTAAAATAACTGTTTCAATCGGTGCATGTTTTACTTTATTTGGTTCATAATCTTTCACTATATTATTAATTTCCTCTTTATAAGTTGATGCACCAATGTTGAGCTGATTACAAGGTATATTAATAGACATTATTTGATTTTCTTCTTCTTCAAATTTAGTTATTCTCACACACTTAGGATTTATGTGCAGTTCAGCACTTGTTTGAAATATAACTTTTCCTACTAACAGGTCACATGTAATGGCTTCATCAGGAACAACATAAATATCAGTAGTATATGATGATCCATCAACACTTAATTTGCAAGTAAATACACCTTCTGTGTAGAACTTAACTCCTCCTGGTCCTCCTAGTAAAGTTTTATCTTTACGAATTGTGATTTCATCTAACTTCAACATAAATGACCTTCGACAGAGATTCACATCACTACCAGTATCAACTAAAGCATTAGTTTCCACACCTTGAATATCAACTAATTTACTTATACGATTAATAGGATATATGACATCAATAACTTGATTCACTTGTATTTTAACATTTTCATCTCTTTGACTTCTATCAGTATTTGGTTGACTAGTTGATGGACGATAAGAACATGATGATGCTTTATGACCAAATTCCTGGCATAAAAAACACTTAAATCCTTTACTAGCATCAGGACAAGAACTAGAACGGTGACCCTTTGCACCACAGTTGTAGCAACGATTAATGTTTGCTGATTGACCTTCATGTTTATATGATTTAAATGAAGCATTAGGCAATTCATTCAAATATTTTTTTTCGCTGAAATTTATGTTTGACTTTGTATTTGCCCTTACGTTTAACTTCATCTTCTCATACAGTTCAAGTTTCAATTTTAGCTCATCAATGGATGTAGCGCCATACAGTATCATCTTGTTAACTTCCAAGTCTCTTATACCAGCTATAATATAATCAATAAGAGAATCTTCTTCAATATTGCCTAGCTGAGCAATCTGTTTCATCTTGAAAACATACTGCTGATACGATTCATCAATTTTCTTAAATCGCTCAGATAGTGAACGATGAATAGCAGCTGTGTTCATACGACTTTTAAACTCATTCTTCAGTTTATCTTTTAAAATTGTCCAAGTAGTAATTCCTCTTTCCGATTGAATATATAATTGAGCCGTTCCCATTAATAAACGTTTACCATAAATTAACTTCTCAGGATCGGACCAACGTAGTACACTAGCCATTTCTTCAATTTCTTCAATCCATCGATTAACTGGATAAGCATCATCACCAGAAAACTTTGACAGTGATTCTTCAACATCTCTAAAGCTTAAATGAGATTTGCTATGCTCAAGTCTCAAAGCAAATACTTCCTCTCGAAGTCTAAAAACTTCGTCCATAATTTCATTAAAATTTTTATTTTTAGGCATCCCAAACTGTTATATAATCAAAAAGTTTAATAAAATTCAAATTGATGTTAGAAACCAATTAACAATAACTAGATCTCGCGAAAACGAACAAAGAAAAATTGCGCGTTTACTCAACCAAAATGGAGTCGCATACTAATACAATTACAAAAACGTTTTATATATTTTCGTCACTAACAACACTTATATAATACACGACAAATAGTTTGAATTTTTCCGGATGTTGAGTAGACAAGATATCTTCTCCAATCTCTATTCCCGTTTGTTGACCGATGATTATCCCGGACAGGCCCCCAAAAAATGTGGGAAAATGCAAACAGGCAATTACAGGAACAGAGCGAAGACGCAATAATATTATTTAATTTATATATTTATAAATTAATACACAAAAACTCTATTAAATGTTAACAAACAAAAATAACACATATACATTTAAATACGCACGAAAACTCTATATAAAATATTCACACAACACAGAAATAAAAATATAAAACAGAATACACTTATAAACTAAAGAATATACATAGAGACACGTTTTAGCCGACTCACGACTTGACTTAATCTCCCTGTATGTACTTGATACCACTATCTATCTCCAGACCCTGGAAGTGGTGCCATCTAGATACCAATAGTACCCACATTTATATGGTTTCTATAACGAATAGAGAATTTTTATGACTTCTTAAGTTTCCAAATACAGACAAAATAACATAGAATTAAATAATCCATCACAAAATAATCTATTTAATTGATAGACATTGTTCAGAGAGTTTTTTTATGAGGCAAAATTTAGAGTTTTTAGTGTGACACTTAGTGATGTTTTTAAATATGAGTTACAAATAAATGTTATCATATATATATAAGGTGTTCAGTAAGTAAGGAAAAGGATTTCTATTATTTTCATTGTTCATAACAATTCACCTGTTTCCTTATTTACTGAACACTCTGTATATTAAGGTGGCTCTTATTTTATAAACTTTCATTGATCGATCTCCGTAACCGCCAATTTTTTTAGTAATTATATGAAAGTTTTTACAAAAATTTTCTAAAATTATTTTTACTTGATCAAAAAAATAAAATAAAAAATTTCGTTAAAATTCACTTTTTTAACATAAATTATTCTTAACTTTCAAAATAATCACTTTAAAACAAAATATTTCGTATAAAAAATATGTAAAATTAAATTTTCTAAAATATTAGTCTTATGTGATACTATAGTCAGTTTAATAGTTTTACTGTTGTCGTGAATTTTATATATATTTACATTTAATCTTAAATGTTAATCCTATGAAATCACTTTAATGTTATCTTTATTTTAAGAATTGTACGTATTTTACTACTTTTTGCATAAGTATATAATTTTTCATAATGTCATTAGTATCAGCTGATAGCAGCGAATTACTCTTACTACAAAATTGCAATACACCAATGCAACAAACGGTTTTACTCTGTGACTTTTAACTTTAATCTCTAAACGTAAACTATTTGTGTCTGATACGGTAAATGCAGTGTAATATGGATATTTTATCATTTACAATTATAAGTTGTGATAGTTTTTTTGAACTTATATAGAATTTGCTTTAGTGAATTGGGATTCTAAAATTTTACCCACAATAATTGGGAAAAAAGAATGCGAATTAGAAGAGCGAGCATTGTTAAATAAAGTTCAAGGCTTTGCATTTGACACAACAGAGTCTAGTTCTGGCAGATTAAATAGCACTTGTGTAGTATTGGAGCAAAAATTAGAAAAAAGTATACTGTTCTTAGTATGCAGGCATAATATTTTTGAAATAACATTTCATGCCTTTTTGTTGATGCAAAATTTGTTCCGAAATCTGATCTAGACATACCAATTTTTAAGAGATTTGTTAATGATTGAGAAAAAATAAATAAAACTGAATATTTCATTTGGTCTAATGATACAATTTTAAGTATATTAAAAAATTATAGAGAAAAAATACTACAAATCTCTGGAAAAAAATTACAAAATTATTTTCTTGCAATGACTTGAGAATTTCTGTTTATAGTAATACATCAAGGCTATAACATTTTATCAGTCGAGAGCACATCACTTCACACGTTGGATGAAAAAAGGTATTTATTCATTAAAAATGTTACTATTTAAAAAACAGTTGACTCTTACCGAAGAAATGGCTCTAAAAAGAATCTGTTGTTCGTTATTAAATGTCAGTCTCAAGTTTGGTTTACTCCACTTAAATCAATTGAGCTCTTTTATCAATTATTGATTCTTACTTAACCATAGAACATAAAAAAAAAACATTGAAAAATTAAAAATTTAAATAGAACTGCATCATTCGAAGAAATTGGTGATAAAGAAAACTTAATTTAAAAATCGATGATTTGCCACATTTTTTCTGGAAGGACTTATCAGTTGACTTAATTACAGATAAGTCTTCACAAATTTTTAAACGATTTAACATAAAAATAGACTCACAATTTTAGGAAGAAAATGTAGAATTCCAAAATAAAAAAAAATAATTGCAGCAATAGTAGTGATTAACGATATTGGCCAAGCGTCCTGTAAAACTAATGAATAACTACAATAGCATATTATCATAAGTCGAAAAGCAAAAGTAATTTTTACTATTTGTAGTAAATATGAAATTATTTATAATTTTTCAAAAGTTTTTTAACTAAAATATGTGATAATTATTATTTATTTTTTGCAGACAGTACAAAACTATTAGTACCCTAATTATAATCGTATTACGCTGAATAAACAGTTTTAATCAATCGTATTTAGACCAATAGTGTTATTAAAACAACAAAACTATTTATCTGACTATAATTTCATATAAGACTAATATTTTAGAAAATTTAATTTTACATATTTTTTATACGAAATATTTTGTTGTAAAGTGATTATATTGAAAGTTAAGAATAATTTATACTAAGAAAGTGAATTTTAGCAAAATTAGCGGAGAGTGATTAATGGTAGTTTATAAAATAAGATCCACTGTACTGTAAATATATATATTAATTGTTTAATTTAAAATAAATATGCACTACTTAAGTATTACTAATAAATATTAATAAGTTTCTAAATAATAACAATAATAATAGTATACAGTAAATTACTAATGATACGTCTTTCAAAAACTCAAATACCAAATTAAATAATATTCTGAAATTTTGGTTTTAAAGTTTTTTTTTATGGGTTTCGGTTTCAAAACATAATTTTTTTAGGTTCTTATTCCTAGCCCTGTATTGAATATTTAGGCAAGAGTCTGCTTTTTATTAGTTTATAATGAAATTACTTACCAAAAAATGGCATTACTTAGGCCATACAAAACCATCATGATTTTTAATAAATAAGTTATAAAATAAAATTAATGCGTATAACATTAAGAAAAAGTATGGAAACTTAAGAGTACAAGTTAGTATAGCAAATGACGTCAAAGAACTTTGGTAAGTAAATTTCAAATATAAATTGTTAAAGAATATACACTTTAATAGGAGTTTATTTTAACTGAAATAGCTCAACGTTTTATTTACTAATTTTTACTGATTTCTCATTTCTCATTATTTACTTTTCAAAACCGTTTTAATTATTTGTTTTACTGTGAAATAGATATTTTGATCAACTATTGATACCGATTATCAATTTAATTATTGTAAATACCACAACAGGTCTAATTAAAAACTATTTTTTACAATTGAAGACTTTTTAAAATTTTCTTTTGTGCTTTCTAATGTTAATTCCTTGATTTTCAAGGCTGGTGTTGGGATATTCTAAAAAATACCAATGACAACAATATTTAATATAATTGATTTATAACACATTTTTAAGAAAAATTGGAGAGCTTAATTATTAACAAAAAGTATAACTTATAAAAAAGTAATATGTGGCTTTACATTTTTCCAATCGATTGCTATCAAACAACAGCTTAAAGCGTGTGACACATAAAGTAATTTGATGACATTACCTTTAGTTTAGACAGATGACACAATGTATTTTTTGGAGACTCAACAGATGGACTTAGCTTATTCAACGCATTATACTGTTTATATTTAAGTGGAAAATAATTCTCATAAGAACAATAAAAATAACTTTCAATTTGTACATCTGTAATTTTAATAAAAAAATGTAGAACAAACAATACAATTATTTCCGTTATGCTTACCAACTTAAATAATACAGATAAGATCAAATCCTTTAAGAGACCACGTCGGAAATATTGGAGTTCCGGTTCATTATTATGTTTATATTATTTACATGAACTAATAAACAAATTTTAATAGATGAGATGTAACAATAGGAAAAAAAAGGTTTTAAGATTCAAAAAAATTGTTGTAGTCTATTCAGGAAAACACTATAATTTCGGCCATAGTTAAATTTTTGGTACTTTGCTCGAAATAGAATAAGAAATAGAAATTATGAATAGAAAGCATATAATTTTTTTCTGTCGCAAGATGGAATATATTATTTTGACTATTACCAGATGACAAGCAGTATTAGTATAAGCGTTTATTTTATCGGAAATCAAATTTCAGATCTCCCGCATAGGGTTCATTTCGGTTGGGCAAACTAATTAATGTACCACCGAGCTGTATCGTATTCTCTACTCGAACACTCGCATTTTGGCAATTAACGTTAAACAAAGACTTCAATAGCTACGTAAAAAGACCAGCACTAGTCACGTTTCCTCTGTAAAATATACAGTTACTGCTGTGGAATTAAAGCTTACGCAAGGCTTGAATGTCACCACGAAAAAAATACTACAAAGTAATGAAAAGAGTACCAATAAGACGGTACAGAAATGTTGGCTGTCTGAGCTGAAGAAGGCCAAGGGCGAGTATTCAACAAAGAGGCAATTAAAAATATGTAATACCACAGCTGTCGTTTTTCCGGATAATTTTCTTGTCATCATTACAGTATTAGTACCGTCGCGGTCGGTGGTTAGCCTTATTTGATAGCATTGAGCTATACGTTCTTTACAAGAGATTTGAATTCGAACAAAGTCATCAAACAACGGTGCTGC